TGGAGTTCCTTTGTGCTGCTCTTCAGGCACTCTCCTGCTGCCCTGTGTTCCTTCTCCAGGCTCTGGGCATCTATTGCTGGCCCTGGCATCAAACTGGTAGGAGTGGGATGGACTGAGGTTCCCCTCCCCCGGCATCTCTAGTTTAAAGCCCTCTTCACCAGCTTGGCAAGCCTATGACTGAAGATGCTCTTCCCCTCCTCTGACAGATGGACCCCGTCAGCCCCCAGTAGACCAGGTTTCTCAAAGTGAGTCCCATGGTCTAAGTAGCTGAACCCCTGGCTGTGGCACCAGTCCCGTAACCATTTATATATCCTCAGTTTCAAAATCTAAGTCCTGCAGGGCTGGATTTTGAGAGGTGCTGAGCACCCATGCCTGAATCCAAAGTTCCTGAGAACACTGAGCAATTCCCTCTCTGAAGGCCTGGCCCTTACAGCCCCTCACCATGCACCCCTAACACTCAGTAGGAGCTGTGGGAATGCCTTGAATGGGTGCAGGTTCCATCTTTTGATCCTATAAGGAGTTAAGTTATTCCTATGTTATGGGGATCACTTTCAGCCAAAGGGCTCCCAGAATCCAGCCAAACTGCATGGTCCTTTTCACTGAAAAGAATCTGATGAGAAGACACCACCGTACCTGTCTTTGAGTTTAAAGAATGGAAAACAAATCAGTTGTTAGTACGGGACATCAGGTAAAAAAAAAAAACAAACCACAACAGAAGAGAGAGCAAACAGGAGTGCCAAAATGAAGGAAATGCATTTGGAAAAATCAGCCATAACCAGTAAGATTTTCCTGGTATTAGAAATAGCCTTATAGTTCTGACCTGGCCTTGCTAAAGCTGAGCTTGATCCAAGGCGTCTAATCAAGTGTCTGTTGTTAAAAGGAATGGGTGGCCTTAATTGTATGGCTGAAGAAGAGATGTTGGTTGCAAGAAAGGGAGAGAAATTATGCTGAATCAGAAGGGATTTGTTTGACTTTTATGGCTGGCTCAATGGGCTCCCAAGGCTTGCGGGTTATAGCACAGTCCAACGGGAATACGCTCATAATACTCTGGGTTTAACCACAAGTTCAGAATTGTCTTCCCTTTCTTCTTTAAGCAGTTTCCCACAATAGCACTGTCCAGTGTAATGTCTGCTTCTGTGCCACGGGTGCTGTCAGTTGAGCAACGCAAGCACCTATGGTCAGACAGCCTTCCAGCTCTCGTGCAAGGCTTTATTGTAAACATATTTATATAGGCTTCTCATACTTCCCCCGCTGAAATTTGTGCCAGTGCTATCAGAGGCACAGCCATGAAAAGACTTCATTTGCATCTTGCCCACTTCAGCTTTCTCCTCTATAATTGTTTGCACTAGAGTAAATTCCTAATTAATTTCTAGCCTGCATGTCTGGTAGGTTTCACTGAGATCAGCAAAGGTGGTGCCGTTGGGGATACTGTAGCTCTGCTACTTACCTGGAAGCTAATCTGTGTAATACAGAAACTTAGTGTGGAGGAAAAGCTACTCTATTTTGCCCCTACAATAGCACTATCAGGATTGTGACGTCTGGCTATGCTCTGAACAACTCTTCTGCAGTATCACTTTACTGTGAGAGTTGCCCAAGACAAACAACAAATGGATGTCATGAACATGGGTTTATAAAGTAGCTTGCAAACCTCTTCTCCCTTTCTGACTGCTAAGTTGGTTTTCTGAGATGGGACATGTAGTCACTGTGACTCATCTACTTTCTCATGAGGAGTCACCTTGTGACTCCTACCTTTGTGCTATGACTGAGTTGGCCTAAACCTTTGCTTGTTTGCAATGTGAGGGTAGGAATGTGAAGACAGGTATACAGACTATATGCCACCTAGGCATTTTCCACCTTGTGGAAAAGGGAAGGCTTGTTTCTGGACCTCTTTTTCTCTTCAGAGTGGAATTCACTTGCCTGGACACCAAATAATCCAAGGGATTGCATATTCAGAAAAGAAAAACACAAGAGCAATGAAAATTCTTGTTTCAAGCTCATTATACATTCTTGCACTGATCCTATCACTGTGGGATCACAGCGCCTTGTCATGCTCCTGGGATGGAAGTCCCATCAGCATCATTTAAGAAGAGCAAGTGCTGGATTCTCCACCTGGAATGGGGTAATCCTGGTTATATGTACAAATTGGGGGATGAGAGGCTGGAGAGCAGCCCCGCAGAAAGAGATCTGGGGGTTTGAGTTGATGGCAAGTTGAATATGAGTCAACAGTGTGCCCTGGCAGCCAAAAGGGCCAATTGTGTCTTGGGGTACATCAAGCACAGCATAGCTAGCCGGTCGAGGGAGGTGATTGTCCCACTCTATACTGCACTGGTGTGGCCTCACCTTGAGTACTGTGTACAGTTTTGGGAGCCTCAATATAAGAAGGACATCAAACTATTATAATGTGTCCAGAGGAGGGCAACCAAGATGATGAAAGGTCTCAAGGGCAAGACTTATGGGGAGCAGCTGAGGTCACTTGGTTTGTTCAGCTTGAAGAAGAGAAGGCTGAGGGGTGACGACATCGCAGTCTACAACTTCCTCAAGAGGAGCAGCGGAGGGGGAGGTGCTGATCTCCTGTCTCTGGTGACCAGCCATAGGAAATGGAGTGAAGCTGCATCAGGGGAAGTTCAGGTTGGACGTTAAGAAAATGTTCTTCACTGAGGGGGTGGTTGGTCACTGGAACAGGCTCCCTAGGGAAGTGGTCATGGCACCAACCCTGTCAGAGTTCAAGGAGCATCTGGATGATGCTCTTAGTCATATTGTTTAGTTTTAGGTAGTCCTGCGAGGAGCAGGGAGTTGGACTTGATGATCCTTATGGGTCCCTTCCAACTCGAGATATTCTATGATTCTATGATCATTTTACAGAGCGGCTAGTTCATAATAATGCAGAACAGAGCAAGGACAGGAAGTCATCTTTCCAGTCTTTGAGTCATGTTTTAACCCTTGGACAGCCATGCACATGCCTAGTCTGCATCTTTCATTCCTGTTCTCCAGGAAAGCCTGCAGGGCCGAAGGCTATCCTTGAATTTCTCCAAGTCAGCCCTAAGCAGCAGAATGTTCTGCCTTCACAGCTTTCCTGTCAGTCAGTAATGGTGATTTGAAGCCTACCTGAGTGTCTCAACAACAAAGATTTGGCATCATTGTTTGCCTATCTATCTATCTATCTATCTATCTATCTATCTATCTATCTACCTATCTATCTATCTATCTATCTATCTATCTATCTATCTATCTATCAGCAAGTCAGTCTTTTTTTTTTCCTTTTGTTTTGACTAATGCCATCATGATGAACAAGAAGTTTTGGAACTGGTTTCAGAGGAAGTGGCGCCAACCCCAATATATTCTAGAGAAGAAATTGGTTGTGGTAAGAGGCTAGGAGAAGGAGCCCTCACTCAGAAAGCATACCCCAGAGCTCTTCCCCTCAACTGTTGTCAAGACAGATCTCTTCTTTTACCACAGCTTTCTGAAAAAGCTGAGCACCAACTTTTCATGTTTATGCCTATGGGATTTGTGGATGCTGAGGATCAGTGTAAGTTAGGCCAATAGCAACGTTTTTAAGGTCAGGAAGGGTGTTTGGGACAGCAGCCAACAGTAAATAATTATCAAATGATGGGCAAAAAATAAATCTGGTCATTTGGAACTTTAAGTGTTTCAGTGAAACACCGTGCAGAGATTTGTGGGTACCAATATATTCCCACATTAATATTTAGGGAAATGTGAAAAGGGTAGAAGCTTAAATTGCCCATTTTTGGAATGGCAAAACGATATTTTGATATTTGCATGTCTTGGTCTACATTGCTGTCTAACCTGTTAGCTGTCTGTTGCTATTCTTGTTAAAAACCCATCACTTAAACATTTTGACTATGAGAAGTATTTGTCTAGCCTACCTTGACCAAGGGTCTACACCACTACCATAATGTTGATGTCCTTTAACAAATGTACGTGGAGACTTGTCCTTTGCCCTGTAGTCTTCTGGCAATACAGGTTGTGCAATTCCTCCATGCTCCCTTTCTGCTCCCCAGGGAAGCTTGCAGCAGTGAAAGGATTCCCTGAACTCTTTATATCTGAAAGAAAAAAAACCCAAAATGTCCTTTAATGGCAGCAACAGTGATGGTTACTTGAAATCTTTTAAACAATGACAAGTTAGCTTTATTTTCTTGGCTCTGAGTTACTCAGTCTTATTCTGGGTAATGCTATTGTGATGAACTGTCACTAGGAGAAGTAAGTACAACGGTGATTGGCAATTGTTTAATTAAGATTGAATCAAGTCTATTATGTTTTGATCAGTGAGAGGAAGAAAGAAGCTGATAGATATGTGCAGCATGTACATCTCGCGGCGTAATCGAGTCTCAGCTGCCAGCACATAGATACCTGCACTGTCCCTTCAGTACTACGTAAGTGGCATATGGACAGCAAATATATGCAATGGCACAGATGGAAGCTTTAGCATCTAATTCCCACCGATTTCAGATTTGTTATTTGTGCCTTTGAAAACCTCCCCTCTCCATCTCTAGAGAGGTGAGAAATGTTACTGTTTAGTAGCTGTAATTCACACTGAATGCAAGCTGTGTCAGGCATTTCACATGGATGTGCTAGTGGCTGAGAATATTCAGTACATTCCCATACATCTGTGTCATTTGAAATCAAGCGGTTCAATGTGTTTAGATGCATGTTCACCTCACATAGTTTTGGATTACAGTGTTGTAAAGATGGACATCAAACTCACTGAAAATTTAAATCTTCCTTTTCTTTTGGGTGGCAGCAGTTTTCCAGTCAGGAGAACACATGCACAGCCAACCATCTTCTTATTAAGGAGATAAGTCCTGCGAGGAGCAGGGAGTTGAACTCGATGATCCTTATGGGTCCCTTCCAACTTGAGATATTCTATGATTCTATGATTCTGTAAGAACCAAATTGAGTGATTTAAATTTGACTTAGTTGTCCAGGATTTTCTGAAAACCTTATCAAGGAAGTAATGAACCGTTGTTGTATGTGATGGGGATGGTCACCCTCGGGATATTTTACTGGTGTGCTGTCTTCATTCGTATGAAACCAGAGAGTGATGTTTAGGTGAATGAGCTGGGAGCCAGCAGCCATGTCTATGTTTGTTGTCAGCCCCTCCATCACTGAGTGGCCCCGATTCTTGCTTTAGCTAGACCTCATCTGTTCTACCATCTTTTTCTGATATTGTGTGTTTCTTTACTGATGAGTGAAGCAGCTGGACATGGCTGCAGACCAGTAGGAGTGCCTTTGTTGACTGTGGTATAGCCACTGCACTGCTATCAAAGCACAGGCTGTGGTGAATCATGCAGATATTCCAACTCGCTCCCAATTACCTTGGGTTTCTCTGCCCTGAGCTCCAAAGTATGGTGTTGCTCTAGGTTTCTGGATGTGTGATTCCTGATGGAGTGAGGTGTATCAGCTAAAGAAATCCTTGTTTAAACAGAGTTGTTATTAATCTTTGCTAGTGTTGATCATTACTTTGGAGATGGAGGGAGAGGGTGTTTTTTATTAAGCTATACTGGGAAAAAGTGCCACTCTGCAGGTACTAGCTAGAGTCAGGCTTATGGTGTTTTTCAGGTGTAAGGTTCCCCTAATTCTGACTTCGTCTTACATTGATTCAAAGGTAGAATAACATCCCTGAGCCCACATCTCCTAAAATGTGAGGAGAAATAGGCTTCTTATTATGTGGCTATGAGCATTTCCATGAACATTACAATCCTGACCTTCGTTATGAGTATGGGCTTTTAAGGAAGAAAAAACAATGGCTACAAAAACTTCTTGTCAGAGTACATTGAGACTCAAACTGTGGTAGAGTCCTAGATATCTAAACAGATCTTAGGGAAATCTATGGGAGAGATCGTGATCTACAAGACACAGACAGTGCTGCTGTGTTGTATTTTGTTCTGTCTGGTTTCTTGGCAGCACAGCGCCCTCCTATCATGTAGTTCCTTCCATGTGGTTCAGCACCACTCTGCTTCTACCTGATGCTGTTCCTTTATCCAGTTTGCCAGGGTGCAAAGGGCAATATGTTTGTATTGTACAATGAACCAAAATAAGAATCTCATGTGCCATAGATTATCAGAAAGCTTTTCTGTTTTTAAGTTTCTGAAGGAACTCAAACATCCATTTCTTAAGTTCTGTCTAAAGCCTCTTTTCCCCCTTCTGAAAGTAGTCAGGCAGATGCCAAGTCACCTGCATGGCTGTGGTGTTTGTATTCATTAAACTGACTCTCATTGGAAACATTAATAAATCATTCTTGTTGACTGCTATCTATAGGTTACTAAGTTGCAGAACAACGACTTTATCTTAGACAGAAAAGAGAAGCATTGCACACAAAGGTCTGATCATCCATTCAGTCCAAACAGGACTTTGTTAAGCTTAAAATGTTTCCAAGTCTCTTTCTCACAAAGAAACATTTATAGCTGATATTGATCCAGTGATATTGAAGATCTCAAGGACACAGAAAAAAATGTCTCTGCTCAGAGAATATCAAATGAGGGCTAGGGTGAACAAAGTTTTAAAGAGTGTATCATGAACAATCCTTAAGAGTCTCAGCAATATAGTCAATGATTTAACAGAGACTATTACCATTTCTAGCTTCCACAACTGTAGATTTATTCTGAATTCTGACAGCCAACTTCCAGCTTTCTGTCTTTTTTGTTCTGACAAAAAAAAAAAAAAGCTAACGTTCAGGGATCAGAACATTAGTTTGCTAGTGCCTCCCTTATTTTTAAAAAGTTACATTTTTCCCTTCAAATTTGTTTTGTTGTGGGGAGCTCAAACCAGAGTGTATGAATACAGCGTCTTAGATTGTGAGCTTGTGAAGGGCTCGTGACTGATACAATCAGTGCATGAAGCCAACACATCTGAGGGGGTGTGTTGCCAACAGCTTGCAGAAGGTCTGTGGAAAGAGAGTTCTTAGAGGGATAAGATTAAGACCTGCCTTTGTATGAGTTCACACAGGGTGCATTCACACTGGCATTTTAGTTTGGATCAGGAGTGCACTTTTGGCATGAATCTCTATTTTGCAGTGCCTTGGTCTTGGAGTACATGAACTGGGTTCCTTCTGGATGAAATTAACTGGAAGATGTGTTCCAGGAATGCACCAGGAGGGCACCACAGCCACAAATGGACCTTCAGTCCCTGGAATCACACTAGAGGTAATGCAAAGTAAAGAGCACCTGAAATGCATTTTTTCTGGACCTCAGATCCTCAGCACCAACTGTTTCACTCTATTTGTCTTCTCCTGTAGTCCGCAATACTTGCCAACATAGACATAGTCACTGAGCAACATACTGATTTGGAATTCAGTGAATTTTTTTGGGTGTGGGAATGGCTGAACTTTTTTTTAATTAACTCTTCCCCAATAAACATATAAATAACTATATACATCATCTTAGTATATCAACGCTGAATCTGACTATCTGATCATAGGGTAAAATCCTTAGGGTACCTTCTTTGTATATATGTAACCTAACATTATACAAATACACATACGTGCCTCTGGTTATTCACGGGCGCTGTTTATCAATGCAAATATGGGTAACAAATACTCTAGTCCAAGATGATAATGTAATAAAATTCATGGATGCAGTATTTTTAAAAGCTGAGAACAACTGTGTTCTATTTATTTATTTACTTGTAATTATGTGACTAGAAAAAAATGCACCATTTTAAAAACATGTATGATATTGTAAAACACGCAGCCACCCTCTTTTCAGGTATAAATTGGTGAGTTCATGGGAGTGTGTGTTTACATTAGCAGAAAAATGTAGCTTGCTGCCTGTATTACAATACAGATTTTCCTGTTCACAGAGAAGAGAAATGTTATGACCTGGCCGTACTTATTTCTTGTTTGTGTTTCAGAGTTGGGTCTAACATAGTTGTCATCTGAAAGATGCTTTGCTGGTGCGTTCAGATCCTGATATCACAGCCTATTCTGAGCTTAATTTTTCCTTTTGCTGGGTATCCTGTGTCGGCAACATTAATCTTCCCTGTACATTCACTAAAATTTAGATCAGGCCTATAATTCAGTAAACTTTCAAGTCTGTCAATAGTTAAAACAGTTCAGATGGAAATTCACCCAAATTCCTGTAATGCAAGGAATACAACAAAAACTTGCCTCAGGGAAAATATGTAAGTGGGAGGCATCAAGACACAGTTTGACAAGTGTGATAATCCAATAATATCAAAATACTCTGACTGGAATTCAGATGTTGGATATGAGACATTACAAATAATGGAAGAAGTTAGCAGTAGTAGTAAACCAGAAGGCTGTCAATAAGATGGAAACTAAGAATTGATTTTGCTAACAAAAGAGAGAAAATCTCACGTGAAAGAACACTGGAGGACTTGAGATTAACTCTGGAATCTGTTATGTATGTAAAAAAATAGAAATTTAGATTAAAAAAAAAATTTGTCATGAGTACTGAGCAGCATGGAGGTTCAGCTTTCCAGAACTTAAAAACTGCAGGAATTCTGCCATATCTTGCCCCCTAGCTAACAGTATAATTGGGCCTGTAAAATAGAGTAAAAATGCATTGATTCCTGAAACTTCCTGATTACACATTGATGACTACAAAAGCAAAATTCAGGCTTCCTGTAATCTTAAATTTTAATTTTAAAGTTTATCTCAGTAATTCTAGGTCAACCTGTAATCCAGAAAAAAAAAAAGGTTCAGAACAGGCATAGATCAAAGAATAACATGATAAATATTGGTGATTGGTTTGTGAAATATGCTCATTTTTTCCAAATTAGAAATACAATATACAGGTTGGTTTTATGAAAGTTAATTCCGGAGATTTTGCGCCCTAAAGCCACAGTATAACATATTTTAGCATTCCTCTTCTCAGGTGTAATCAACATATTTCCCAGGGAACTGACAGACTATTGCACAAAGTAGAAAACGTTTTGTTTCATTAAAACAAAAAGAAAAAATTGTGTCTTGCCAGAAAAACGTAACCATTAGAAAATACTTTTGGTAACAGCAAATGGATATCAAATACTTTTAATGAAATAATTTACCTTTATGAGTTCTGTTCTTACCTGTCTTGTGAGACAGTTGGACAAGAAGGAATTTGAAGCTGAGTTAGTACCTCATTGGACTCAAAGGCTCTTGATAGGATTTTGGTTCCCTCAATTTCTCTATAGTAGTGGGGCAAGTCATGCAGCAGCATCATGTTTTGTGTTTGAGCTTCTAGGGGAAAATACAGGGATAAAATACCAAATATCAAAGGTTTTGTTAGTGCATCTGGATGCTAAAGAGGAAACATAGATGAGTTCTCCCTAATTCTGACAAGTGTCAACAGGAAACAATGGTTGCTTTTACTACTGCTACTGGTTATTTGTGCCAGGTTACAAAAATAAAACAAAAAAAAGAGGCAGATTAAAGAGGTGTGATACTGTTGTTTTGTATTACTGATGAAGAGGAGCTGGAAATAAACTTTCAAATAATGGGAGGAGAAAGTTTGGACTTGCACTTGGAGAGTCTTACTTGTGAAAGTCTCACTTGGTGAATTTGGATTCACTGTAAAGTTCCAGTCCCACTCTGAAAAGGATAATATTAAACCTACGATACTTTTCATAGAAAATAATTTTTTCCTTAATTGCCATGATTTTTGTCTTTCTACCTCTGTGCCAAGGGGAAATGCTTTAGTCCTCCTTTCACCTGAGTGAAGTTGTGGGAAATGCTTTAGTCCTCCTTTCACTTGAGTGAAGTTGTATTTCAACACTGGTTGACTAGCTCTTTGTGAGGAGAGGTGCTACCTTAGGTCAGTATAAACCCTTCTGCTTTCTAGAACGCCATGCAGGCATTTATATCTGAACAAGTTGCCTCTGTTCTGAGCTGCTCTGTTGTGTAAGAGAAAAGCACCAGGACTTGTACTTTCTACCCGGTGAAACTCTGGTTCACAGCATTGAGAGTCCTCTCTCAAAAAACACCAGCAACTTCTTAGATGAAGTATATGAAGAAACACTACTGCTTCCTCCCCCTCCACCAGGAGCCAGCAGAGCATTCCCTTGTATCTGTGCCCTGCTTCTTCTGGGAGAATCCTCAGTTTTCCTGAGGAAGCCCTCAGGAGCCTGTTTGCTCTATGACAAGCCCAGTAGGGGTATGTAATAACGTTTTGTACAAGTTCACAGGTACAAAGGGAAGCACTGAATTCACTCTGCTCTCCACAAGCTGTGACAAGGCTCCTTTTGACTAAAAACGAATGGCTCATCATATGGAGAAGGCTGAGAGGCCTTTGTTTTACCTCCTTACATTTTGAGTTGTACCTTTAAGCCACTTCTGCATTGCTCTGCACTTAATGGTCTGCTAGCTTTTGGATATGGATCTTACAATGGCAAGAGGGGTCTGAGAAGAGTTTCAAGGAGAAGGGAGCAATGTACATTTGTCTCACTGGTACGTTTGCTATCCTGACTTTGGCAAAGCTTTGACAAAAAGGGTATTTTGCTCAAACCCTCTTCTTCTCAGACATATGTCAGTGAAATGCAAAAGATTTTGCTTTGCCTTATTAAAATAGGAAACTAATTTGAAAATATTTGAAATATGTAATTCTTCTAGGATGTCTGGGGGTTTGGGCCATATGTGTTATAAGAAAAGAAGCTGACGTAGCATGTTCAAGTGAAAAAATTCAGATGAATTCTGTCATGCTGGCAGTTTCTGGAGTGTTGGGTGGTCTGCTATGATATCTACGTGAGCACTATGGGACTCTTACACTGATGACTCAGATTCAAGTACTACTGGTTTGCAAAGAGGAAAATGTTCAGAGTTGTTGATTCACAATATGCAAGTGGGCAAGAAACAGAAGCCAGACTTTCCTTCCAGCAGGACTGCTGTGGTTCTGTAATGCAATGCAGTTCTGAGTCCACACTGTTCAAACCCTAGCAGAATTTCCCCTCTATCCAGCTTGATTAACCTTTCTGGGAAATGTATTTCTGGCTGCCAGAATTACAGGTGGGGCCTATGACTAGTAGCTTTTTTTGCCTCTGCCTGTTGCACACCTAGGGAGGTGCCACAGTTCACAGCTGCTCTTTGCAGCTCCACAATAGCAACTGCCCGCTGAGGCAGGGATCTACGCCACCAATTTTACTTCATCAGTCTCCTGGCATTTCAACCATCGTCCATAGCACCAGATCATGATCTGACTGCATTCAGCTCCAAATACACAACATACATACAGACTTACATCCATCTGCAGTCTTACCCATCATACCAACACCAGCTCCACTGATAGGCAGCAGTCCATACCCCCTCATCAGAAGGGTTGTGAACATATACGTCCCATGTCCCTGCAGCTGCACTAGTCCAAAGCCACCACACAAATCCTAAAAACTGTCTTCAGCTCCAGAAACATAGTTCATTGCACAGCATTTCTAGGTGGCTGGCTTGGGAACCTGAGTTCCCAGCCCTTGACACCTACCTTTAGCAGCAGGATCCAGACATCATCTGGGTAGTCAAGGCATCCCTTTGAACAACGCTTTCTGGACACAGTCCAATGCATGCAGAAGGACACCCGCTGTCTGTCCAGTTCTGTTCCCTGGCAAACTGGCCCAATTCCTTGGCAGAAGAAGCCAAGGGGGTTATAACTCAGTGAGGCCACTCAGGCTAGAGGTCTGGCAATAGATAAGGGAGGCTAACAGTAGGAGAAAGATGATGAAGTCAGATGGAGCCACGTGCTGCCAGGACTAAAGTCCCAAGTCCTTACCAATCCAGGTGAAATCATCCACAAAGGAAGTCACTAGTTTCCAGGATGATGTCTCTCCAAAGCAGGAAACGCAATCGTTCACATTTCAGCCCCAGAGCTTTCAGAAATCCACGGCTAAGAGAATGAATTATCTCACTGTGAGCCTTTTGATGAGGAAAAGCTTTTAGGGGGGGAAGGCAGGAAGGTACAGGAAAACGATACATTTATGTCCTGGTGAATGATACCTAAGTAAATCTTAATTTCTAAATGTAATAACCTTTCAAATATTGTGTTTACGAAACCCCAAAGAGGTATTATTCCAAAGTAGGAGACAATATCTAGGGAGCAGCCCCTCTCCTCCAAAGCTTTATTGTCTGTCTGTCTTCAGAAGACACAGGAAACTGTGTAGAGCAGATCTATGAACTAAGCCTACTTTCTCATTCAGTGCAGTGCACTGTGAGTATGCTTTGGCCTGTGTTCTGGTCGTACTTGACATCACAGTGAGAGGGTGTTGGGGATCTTTAGGGGTGATACACAGAATGAGGCAGCTGGTGATGTCAGCAGATGGTTACCTAGTGTGTGAGGGGGGAGGATGTTAGAACACGTTTGGGAGCTGGGATCCAAGACACAAGTAAGTGATGGGCTGTTTTACCTCTGCTGAATAAAGTGGTGAATATAGCCACAAGCCAAGCCAAAAGCCAGTTCATTACAGAAAATTCAATTGGGAAGAATTGAGTGAAGTCGTGTGGGCATCAGTTCAATTCTTGACAAATTGGCTGAGCCTAGAACATTTCAAATAAGGCAGGCAGCACAGCAGCTGGACTTCTGTGGATTGCCACTTCTTATCCCCATTCTTGGAGATACCAATATTCTTTGCTTAGGTCTTGTGTGGGATTTTCACACCCTCCTTCGAAACAGTTGGACCTGGCCACTGGTGGAGCTTGGATTCTGGTTAGTTGGCTTGCTGGATGTTTCTGCCCTCCTGTGTTTGACAGACATGGTGATAGATTTTGATCTGTTTTACTTTCTTCTGCTGACCTTTTCTTTTCTCTCAATGTGGTTTTTCTTTGAGTTGAATTGGTGTCAAAATAAATGGATGCGTTTGAAAAGAGTGGTTTTGTTCTGTTGTTTCTTTCACCAGACAGGGCAAAATTAGCTGGAGGTCCTACTTTTCTTGGAAAAGCAGTGTGAAAAAAGCTGGAAGCAAGTCTTCTGGCAAGTGATAATACATAAATAGCTTTTCTGAATACCTATTAAGTGCACTGTCGTGTTATTATTATACAGTGGAGCCAGTAATTGGTTTATTATGATTTTGGACGACTGGTTTGTTTAACATGGATAAGCTGGAAGCAAGTCTTCTGGCAAGTGATAATACATAAATAGCTTTTCTGAATACCTATTAAGTGCACTGTCGTGTTATTATTATACAGTGGAGCCAGTAATTGGTTTATTATATTTTTGGATGACTGGTTTGTTTTTAACATGGATGGCTTGGCCATCACATTAAAGTGAACTACACTTTAATGTTTGTGCCATGTACAAGTGATATAGCTGTATCAGTAATTCCCAGAGTTCAGAAGTTTAATATATTCTGAAAAAAAAATATTTTCAGTGTTTCTTTTTCATGCTTCATCTTAGTCTAGAGCTGAATGTATGGAAAGGCTCAGCAGAATCTTTTCCTTCATTTCATTAATTATTCAGCTGTTGAAAAACTCTGTTATTTCTTTCCAAAAAAATACTATGGAAGATTTAGAGTTGTGGTTTTAAGATACTATGGGAATGACCTGCCTTAGTTGTTATTATAGAGGGTGTGCTGACTGGAGGAAAAAGGCTTAGGACATCACTTCTACCCTCTAAATCTTCACACAGAAGAGGTCACCCCACATGTAAATCTATCAGTACCTAAGTTGGGTGTATCTCTGCCACCTGTATCTCCAGGTTAATGAGTTTCTTTGGGAAACAACTAATTGGGAGGACTAAGGTTCCTGATACCTCTCTGTATAGCTCCCTTACCAGGCTACAGTGGCTGTTCTGTGTTGATGTGACAAAGGGGTCAGGGAAAGATGGGTATCACAAAATCACAGAATCACAGAATGGTTGAGGTTGGAAGGGACCTATGGAGATCATCTGGTCCAACCCCTGCTCAGGCAGGGCCACCTAAAGCAGGCTGCCTAGGACCATGTTCCCAAGGAGGGAGACTTCACAGCCTCTCTAGGCAACCTGTGCCAGTGCTCAGTCACCCTCACAGTCAAAAGTGTTTCCTTATGTTCAGGTGGACCCTCCTGTGTTTCAGTTGGTGCCCATTGCCTCTGGTCCTGTCACTGGGCACCACTGAAAAGAACCCGGCTCCATCTTCTTTGCACCCTCCCTTCAGATATCTGTACACATTGATGAGATCCCCTCTGAGCCTTTTCTTCTCTAGGTTGAACAGTCCCAGCTCTCTCAGCCTTTCCTCATATGAGAGATGTTCCAGACCCTTCATCATCTTAGTG